GAGCTGGATGAACACAGCAGGCCAAGCAGCATCATAGGAGCAGGAAGACTGACGTTTCATCTGATGAAGGGTCTAGGCCCAAAATGTCAGCCTTCCTGCTCCTCTGATGCTGTTTGGCCTGCTGTGTTCATCCAGCTCTACACCTTGTTATCTCACCTAACTTGATCAGTGTTGGGTGTGTATAGTGACAGTTCTTGCTGGCTCTACAGTTCCTGGAATTTTCCCCTCACCTCAGATGAGTAATTAATTGCAGCCATTGGTCAACAACTCTATGGCCAATATATCATATCGGCAGAAGTCAAATGAGATGCTTCTTGGAATTTTTTTTTTTCCTTTATTCATGTTATGAGGGTGTCACTGGCTAGACAGCATTTATTGCCCATCCCTAATTGCCCAGAGGGCAGATAAGAGTCAAACACATTGCTGTGGGTCTGGCGTCACATGTAGGCCAGACCAGGTAAGGATGGCAGTTTCCTTCCCAAAGGGCATTAGTGAACCAGATGGGTTTTTCCAACAATCAACAATGGATTCACTCTTAATTCCAGATATTTATTGAATCCAAATTCCACCATCTGCCAAGGCAGGATTCGAACCTGGTCCCTAGAACATTAACCAGGTCACTGCTTTAACAGATCAGTGATAATACCACTAGGCCATTACCTCTCCTGGAATATTTCCATACAGCAATTGTCATGATCATCAATTTGGGTTTGAAACCACAGCCTTCTGAGTCAAAAAGGAGTCCCTATCCATCGAATTTACTTGGCAATGCCTAGGCTAGAATTGTGTGACTATTTTTTACCTCAGTGAGTATTGTAAGATATCAGTTTGACCCCAGTGATGATCAGGCCCCTTGGTAGTTCTGTATCCTACCAGAATCAGTCCTAATATAAGAACACAAGACATTGGAGCAGGAGTAGGCCATTCAGCCCCTCCTGTCTTCAATATGAAGCATTCAATATAGATCACAGCTGATTTTTTTTCTTCAACTTCACTTTCCCATTGCTCCTGATATTGCTTAACTCCCTACAGCTCCCGGTCTATCTCAGCCTTGTATATATTCATCGAAGGCTGCCACAACACTGTGGGGATTTCCAAAGATTCAAAATCCTCAGGGGAAGAGATTTTGTCTCATTTCAGCTTTAATTGATCACCTGTTTATCATCAGACCGTCCCATGTTCTAGATTCCCCAGATAGGAGGAACAAACCCCTTCAAAATCCTACATGCTTCAATAAGATCATCTCTCATTCTTCTAAACTCCGAAGAATATAAACCCAGTTTTCTGGGCCTCATCATGGGACAATGTTCTCACCCCAAAGATCAATCTAGAGACCATTCAGTTACCTCACTCAATGGAAGTACATCCTTCCTTTTTCCTCTGAGAAACATTTGAATGGGGTAACAATAGAAATGCTTACCTTGCAGGGTTGACGACAGATTTTAACCTTGGAACAATGAATTATCTTGCCAAGGTCTTCCAGCTTCACCCCACTTTGATCCCATTCCTTGACTGGGTAGCAGTGTAGTTTTGTTTCTATGTCTTCTTTATCAATTTGCTTTGCTTCCTAATTGAAACAGATAAAATGATCACAATTAAAGCAGAGTCAGCAACAGGGGAATCAATCACAAATTAAAGACACAGTGAGGAGAACTTTAAAACTCAAGCATGGGAGGATTTGATAAGATCAGATGTTAAGATGTGAAAAAAAAACAAACTTAAACACAAGCCACATCGACCCACAAGTCATATATTTACATATTCGATCGAGGCTACAAGCCTCACAGTGTTCCTTTATTTTAGCTTTGACCCAAGGTACCTGGTCTCCGAGAAACTAAAGAGAAATGAAGACTGGTGAATCTGGAAACTAAGGCTATTCCCATATTGCTTGTGGGCTAGCAGAGGTGTTTCCTGCCACCTGGCCCTCCAAAAGTCACCTGCAAACCCTTTGTGACCAGAGATATCCTATAACCTTTTGAGTCATGTTGATACACCCCATTGACTTTAAAACCCATGCCCCCACAAACTAGCCTTGCTAAATTTCTGCCCCTCCAATCTCCCTCTCACAATCACCCTCCCACCTGATCTCAGGTCCACTTCAGAGTCTGATAATTCTGACTGCCTCGGCCTCTATATTTCCTTCCCAATCCCACTTTCCTAAGTTTTCCCTGTCTCCTCCATCTGGTTTTTGATCTCCCCAACCACACCCAACCCCATCAACCCCCTCCCCACCCCAAACCCTGGTTTCCTCCTACATCAACTATTCCAATCTTCCCTTCCCCAAAATGATTCTGCCCCACTCTCCTCCACTCTCCCACTCCTACCCGACTCTGCCCCTTATAGTTGCTGACACTACTCCCACCCTAACTGCCCCAGAGAATTCCCACCCCAACCCAGTTCGAAAGCCTGCCCAGATTGAATGGGGCTGACTGGACCTGATTTAGGGGCCACCCACACTTTTTGAGATAAAGCCTTGACAGCCATAAACCAATAGCGGCTCCCAGCCCCTGATCCTGGGATTCAGGCAGGTCTCTTGGTCGAATTTGGGCTTTATAATATTGGTAAGTGTGTTGTGTGAAACTGGTTCATCTGCTATCTTAAACCCTAATAAAGGGCTTAATGCCTTAGACAAAGCAATAGGAGCATTTGTTATTGATATGGTATGTCTCCATTTCCTCCCAAAATCTGGTAAACATGCGTTTCTTGTTGCACTTTTCACTTTATGAACAATGTGCTATTTATCCATTTTTATTTAATTTTAAAAATCACCCTTGGACTATCCAGGAAACAAGAGGAGGAATGAGTTCTAGAGTGTGAAATACATTAATAACCGTTTTGAAACAAGGCTGGGGCAGGAATGTGTTGGGAAGAGTGCCCATAATGTTGGGCAAGACTGTTTGGCTCAAACTCCATACTGGCTCCACCTAAATGTAATTTGTGTGACATCTGTGAAAGCAGAGAGCCGTGGCTGGGGCTGTGTTCCAGGTCAACTCACAGGGAACTGGGAGAACCAGACCGTGCTCTGGCTGCAAGCCTGAAAAGAAAGGCTCATGCACAGTTGGGAAGTTAAAACAGAAAACTGCAAATGCTGGGAGTTTGAACTGACAAGAAAAGGTGAACCTTGCATTTTCTATGGAGACTTTCACAACCTCAGGATGTCCCAGCGCACATATTGCAGCCAAGTACTATTTGTGTCATAGGAAGTGTGCCAGCCAACCTGTGCTCAACAAGCCTGCACAAACAGCAATACGATAAGCAACCAAATAATTTCTTTTCAGTCGATGCCGTTTGCGGGTTAAATATCAGTCAGGAAATTGGAGGAAACTCCCTCACTCCACTTCAAAATGGGAGGACGTGTAAAACTGATGGGGCATTGATTTTGCAATGCATCAGAAAGGCAGCATGTCCAATAGTGCAGCACTCCTTCAGTGTCACACTGTCGTGTTAGCTTAGATTACATGCTGAAAGCACTGTTGTTGTCTGAAAGACAGGGAAAAGAAGAACGCAGAGAGAGAGAGACCGGGAGAGAGAGAGAGAGAGAGAGACAGACAGGGAGAGAGAGAGAGAGAGAGAGAGAGAGAGACAGAGAGAGAGAGAGAGACAGAGAGAGAGAGAGAGAGAGAGAGAGAGAGAGAGACACAGAGAGAGAGAGAGAGACAGGGAGAGAGAGAGAGGGGGAGAGACACGGAGAGAGAGAGAGGGAGAGAGAGAGAGACAGGGAGAGAGAGAGAGGGAGAGAGACACGGAGAGAGAGGGAGGGGGAGAGAGAGAGAGACAGGGACAGAGAGAGAGAGAGACAGGAAGAGAGAGGGAGAGCAGCAGGAACTAGAGTAGCAACTCCACCTGAACTGAATTGATTGGCTGCATATCTGAAATGTCATAACTTATACTTCTCTTTATGGATGACTGATATGCTGTCTACATCCCAACATTGCTACTAAATGCTTCGGAAATACACTGCATGGTTCTGATATATATTTATCATTAAATGGCATTTTATTACCTTCCCAATGTGGCATATTCCTAAACCTATCCCAGCTGTCCATGATGTGGAGACAAAAGTTATGAAAGAGTAAGGAAGCCTTGCAACATCCCTTAAAATTAATTGGCATTGTATTTGCTGCCTTTGATGTGGTTAGGCTTTGTCAGTATGTCCCTGAGGCAAGACGGTTAAGAATTTGACCTCGACTGGCAAAAAAAAATTGTGTGCTATCTATACCGCAAGAATATTTTTCTTTCATTCGTGGAATGTGGGCATCACTAGGTCATTTATTGCTTTAGTTGGCCTTGAAAATGTGGTGCCTCTTTGAACTGTCGCAATCCATCGGGTGTAGGTAGCCCCACAATGCCATTAGGGAGGGAGTTCTGGGAATTTTGATCCAGTGACAGTGAAGGAATGGCAATATGTTTACAAGTCAGGATGGTGAGTGTCTGCAGTGTCTGAAGAAGGGTCTAGGCCCAAAACATCAGCCTTCCTGCTCCTCTGATGCTGCTTGGCCTGCTGTGTTCATCCAGCTCTACACCTTGTTATCTCAGAGGTACTGCTGTTTGTTTTGGCTGGGATCTAAAAGATCCCATGGCACAAGTATGACAAGATGAAGTGAGTTCTTCCTAATGTGACATGGGCAATATATATTCCACAAACGACGTGAATAAAACAAAATAATCTGACAGTTATCACACTGCCATTTTCAGGGCTTGCTGCATATCAATTGATTGCCCTTACGTTCCACATCACACCAGTGTTTACACTTTATAAAGTATTTAATCAGCAGAAAAGAACTTTGGGACATTAAAGCATCAACCAATTGGAATGATAAAAATACAAGCTTATTCTTCTGCTTTTGTTAAATCCAAACTAATTTTAGCTTTTTACTCATTATTATAGGTTCTCACTTAATACTGAGGAAAATTAGATTTCAATGAATGAGTCCAGTTGTAGACCCTCTTTAATGCCATATCTTTAAAATCAGAACTTAATCAAATCACAGACTTGTTATGGTACAGAAGGAGGCCATCATGTTGCACTGGTTCTATTACCTACAGCCAATTTCCTGCCTTTTCCTCATATCCCTGAACTTCATTTCTACCCAAATAATCAACCAATTCCCTCTTGAATGGCTCAACTGAACCTTCTTTACCACACTTCCGGGCACAGTATTCCACATCCTAACTACTCACTGTGTGAAAAAGACTTTTTTTCACATTGGGAGTGGCACGGTGGCTCAGTGGTTAGCACTGCTGCCTTATAGCACCTGGGACGCGGGTTTGACTCCAGTCTCGGGCAACTGTCTTGTGTGTAGTTTGCACATTCTCCCTGTGTCTCCGTGGGTTTCTTCCGGGAATTCCGGTTTGCTCAGATGTGCAAGTCAGGTGGATTGGCCATGCTAAATTGTCCATACTGTCCAGGAATGTGCGGGTTAGCCATGGGAAATGCAGGGTTGCAGGGATAGGGCAGGTGTGGGTGGAATGCTCTTTAGAGGGCTGCTGGGATTTTATGATCACCCTTGCCTTGTTGGTACATCACTTTAATGAATGTACAGATCACCTCCTGATGCTCCAATCTTAATTCACACTGAAGGCAACTCTGTTTTGGGGATGTTGCTGAAATCCCAACCTACACTTCTGTCCCTCTAGGCATGACAACTTCAATACCCAACAGGTCAGCTTTGTCCCTCCTGAACCTGACCTCACCCAAACTTGGCAGCCATCTCCGAAACCTGCATGGGGTCTTAATCATTCATCAACACTGTCTTTGTCAACATTGTTACCGTCAGTGCAACAACACCTTGATTTCAACACTAGCCTTGTGTTTATGTCACTCCACGACGATGCCTCTCCCAATCTCCATGAACTTCACTGATCCACAGGCACCGAAAATACAGCCTACCTTCAACGCTCGCCTCTTACTCCTTTCCCACATCCTTCACTCCACTACTAGCAGCTGTACCCTCCCTCATTTAAATTCTGAAATCTGGAATCTACTGCCAATACCCCTCTACCTCTCTCCTTCATTAAAATGCTCCTCAGTAAATATCTCTTCAATGGAGCTTTCCTTTTTAACACCTTATGTTGTTTGGTGCCATATTTTGTTTGAACAGGCTCAAGTGCAACATCATAGGATCCTTTACTCTGTTAGAAGTGCTGTATAAATGCACGTTGATGTTATTTAATCATATGTCATCGTGACATCATGTACCTATTTATGATGTTGATGGCGTTTAAGTGTTCTGATATATGTACATAAGTGTGCAGGCCATCATGTTATCAAAAAGGTTAAAGAGATGCTATCCTTTATTATGAGAGGAATCAAACACAACATTAAGCATGTTATGCTTCAGTTCTCCACAGCGTTCACTTTAGCAGGAAGAATAAAAAAGTCGGATATTATTTGAACGGAGAGTGGATGTGGAAATCCCAAGGTGCAGAGAAATCCAGGTGTTCGAGTCACAAAGAGTTAGAATGCAAGTTCAGCATGTAATCAATAAGGTTAAACAGATGCTATTAATTATTAAATGAGGAATTGAACATAAAAGTAAGGTTATACAGGGCATTGGCAGTACCAATACTAAGTGCAATTTTGGTCTCCTTATCTGGGGATGGATTTCAATGCATTAGAGGCAGTTCAGGGAAGGTTTATATAGAAGTGAAGTTGCCATAGTCCCACTTATTCATTAGAGAGAGATAACTACTGCTGGCTTAACCTGAGGATTACCATATCTTAGGCAAGCAGAGGCCTTTTTGGTAACCTCAGCTGGAATTGAGCCTGCACTGTTGGTGTTACCCTACATTATAAACCAATCAGCCAGCCAACTGACCCACATTCACAGTGAGTGAGTGGGTGGTCTCAGAAGCAAAGGGTGGACAGACTGAGTTTGCTTCCACTGGAGTTTAGGAAAGTGAGGGATGTCCTGATTGAAGATTATAAGACCTTAAACAGCCTTGACAAGATGCACAGGTATAGGATGCTTCCTATTGTGCATCAGTCCAGACCTAGGGCGCACTGTCTTAAAATGAGGGGTCACCCTTTTAGAACAGAGGTAAGCTTCCTCTCAGAGGGTTGTTCCGCTTTGGAACTCTGTCTTAGAAGACGGTGGAAGCAGTGTCACTGACTATTTTAAATGCAGAGGTGGATAAATGTTTGATAGGCAAGAGAACCAGGGCTTATTGGCATAGGTGACAATGTGGAATTCGAAACACAGATTAACCATGACTTTATAAAATGGTACAGCAGGCTTGAGGGGCCGAATGGTCATCTTCTGCTCCTATTCTGTTTGTTAAAGATAGCAAACAGACTGCTTCCCCAATTCGAGGCAATAGTTCTGAGGGGTCACTTGGAGATTTGACCCTTTCACGTTTCTCCTCAGTTCTATGAACAAAAGTTAGAAATCATAAATGATTGTCTCAAGATTCTACGATCCAGAAAATGACAGAGAAAAGCTCAGCAATGCAATGAGGAGAGTCACTCAGCCCTGCTGATGTCTCACGTTCTGGCAGAAACAGGAGAATATCAGCATCATTGTCCTATGTGTATCCAAACTGGTGGCTCATGTACAGACACCACCTGAGGCTGTGAGGGAGATATTTACAACAGGAATTCTTAGGCAGAAGTGACACAATGGCTGCTGCCATGGTTCAGGAAATTACACATATAGCATTGGCTGAAGCTTTTGCAGAGAAAACTAACAGCAGTTTGTCGGTCTCGGAAATAGAAACAAAGTGAACCCATTAGATGTGAGGTGTGAGTTGTCAATGTGACCGTATCTCAGAGTAGGCATGGCCCCAACAACAGTCCGATGTCACTCTGTGACTGGTTGGTTTTCAATAAGTAGGCCAAGAATCTTTCACATTACCACATATGACAGCTCATGCCAGATAAAACATACACTTGTACTGCTTAAAGTACTGACTACATTGATTTACGATGTTTCAGAGTGTGGCATGGCCTATGGTGCAGCTGACATTCTGAGCCAGCAACGTTCCAGAAATGTAGCGAATGACAATTTAATCTGCTCCGAGCTCGATGTTGTAGAGGGGTGCAGCTTGGCTGGGAAGCTAAGGAAAATCATTGAACCACACAGAACAAAAATTGGCCATTTGGCCCATTGTCCTATTCTGCCTCTTTGAAGAGTTATCCAATTATCCCCACTGGCCATGATCTTGCTCCGTTTTCCCTGCAATTATCTCCCCTTTACGTATTCATTCAATTCCGTATTGAATCAAATATCTTTTTGTCACCATTTCAGACGACTCCAACCAGAACAGTTAATGGCATTCAGAAAAAAATCAATCTTATCTTCTCTAATTTGCTAGTTACCTTACATTTCCACTCATCACGACACTAAAGTATTAGCCAAGATTATCAACTCACGTTCTGGTGTGGTCTCATGTCTCCATAAAATACAACAATGACTACTCTTCAAAAAGTACTTCATTGGCTGTCATATGCTTTGAGATATCAAGAAGTTACAAAAGGCACCAAACAAATGCAAGTCTTCCTCTTTACTGAAAGTGCAGAGTTAATGAATGGATTAAGAGACATCACTGTCAAACATTTGGCAAGCCTGTTTTAGATTGCATTCTTGCAAATGCGTGCCTGTATTGTGGCATACAGATATTTTAAACTTGCATGTTATGGTTTTTAACATTCAAACAAATGGTAGCTTACCTGAACGAAATGTGTTTTTGCCTTTGGGATGGGAGCAGCTTCATTCTGCTCAGTTGCTGGCTTCTTCTGCACCTTGGCATAAATCTCTGGTGTTAATTGTTCCCTGTGTGATAGAGAGAGAGAAAGAGAAACTGTAATGAAGGTGCATTGTTCTTGACGGATTACTGAATTGTAGATACGTATCAGCATGTGTAGAAGCATGAGACAAATTTGTGATGGATGATATTAAGTCACACTTCAGGCCAATGATTCCTTTGTTAAAATAACAAAGAAACTTGTGTATTTTGAGCTTATCAATTTGAGAAATCATTCTGCTGGTGAATGGACACTTGAGCAAACTTGGCACCAGTGGGGCAGTATATCTTTCTCCATTTGCTAACCTTGTTGAAAGAGTTGGCATGAGCATAAAACAGGAAATGTGCCCAAAGTCGTCCAGATCTAAAGCATATTCTTCGCTGTTTCAACGTAGCATCTTTCCATTTCCCACAGAGACCCTGTTAGTGGCCGCCAACAAACACTCAATAACAACATGGCATGTCACACTGTAGAGTACAGGAGGTTATTTGCCTCCACTGGGTCCTTCTGATCCCCTTTACCCTCTCAGCTTCCGCAATAGTATGGGTGGCAGTATGGAAAGAGGCTTCATGGTCCCATGCAGTAGCTTTTCAGGACTGGCAACTAATGGATAACTAGGGGCAGCAATGTCAACGGAATAACAATAAGTTCATCGTAGCCATTTCACACAACAGAGTACACAACAGAGTTTTTTAATGAATAAGGAAATGCCAGAACAAAAAAGAACAGTCTTTATTAAAAAGAAAGTAGGAACTGCCGATGCTGGAGAATCTGAGATAACAAGGTGTAGAGCTGGATGAACACAGCAGGCCAAGCAGCATCAGAGGAGCAGGAAAGCTGACGTTTCGGGTCTTTATTAAAAAACAGCTTATAAGGGCCGCAGAGTGGCTACGTGGTTAGCACTGCTGTCTCACAGTACCGGGAGCCCGGGTTAAATTCCACCCTAGGGCAACTGTCTGTGTGGAGTTTACACATTCTCCCCGTGTCTGTGTGGATTTCCTGCAGGTGAGATGCTCTTCAGTGGGTTGGTGTGGACTTGATGGGCTGAATGGCCTGCTTCCACACTGTAGGGGATTCTATGATTGTTGACACCGTTTCTGAGGGACTTGGAGTGGATAAATAGGGTTTCTGTTCTCTGTGTATCAGTGAACAAAACATCACTAAAAGATGGAAGACAAGGATATCAAGCCATTCTACTTTGAGTTGAGACAACAGCTAGGAATCAAGGTGCCCTGATACACATTGTTGGAAGCAGAATCCCTGGCAGGGACGATTAGAGATGTGAATAAATACTTTTCATGTCAATGTGAAAGGTTACGGAGAAAAGGTCAGAAATGAAGCGAACTATTCTTTTAAGGAGCCTGTCTAACACAATGGGTAGAATGGACTCCATCTACACTACAAATTTCAAGGTACTAAGCTTGGATAGACATAAATTAAACGTCTGAATAGCCATGTTTGACATTCGCTCAATATGAATATAACACTTATATAACAAGGTGTAGAGCTGGATGAACACAGCAGGCCAAGCAGCATCAGAGGAGCAGGAAGGCTGACATTTCGGGCTTAGACCCTTCTTCAGAAAGAAGGGTCTTCTGAAGAAGGGTCTAGGACCGAAACGTCATCAGCTTTCCTGCTCCTCTGATCCTGCTTGGCCTGCTGTGTTCATCCAGCTCTACACCTTGTTATCTCAG